TTTTAATCATCATTTGAAGCACTTGGCCCTCAGGGCAGCAATAATGTAAATAGCACCGACTCGAGGTTTCTGTACTGACAGCTGTCTATGCCTTCAGCAGAGGGCATATTCTGCAGTGTGATTGGGAAAATAAGCCAGGACCAAGACTTCCAGGTCAAACCAGTCTCCTGAGTTTATCTTCTTTGCTAGAGGCTATAAGACACCTTAGTATTTTCATTGCTATATATAATACACAGGATTTTTCACTGATTTCTGAATTTCATTCAAGGTGGTAGAGATACTGGTGTGTTTCTCCAGCCATTGAAATTAAGAGGTAGCCAGGAAAGAGGGACTTAGCAGGCTCAGAATTCTACCAAAGAAGCAGTGATCAAAGCTGCTTTCTGCAATAACAGTAACAATAACCAATGAGGGAGACCTGTTTGAACTGGCGATGGGAGTCGAACTGGCGGGTCAGCCTAACATACGCTTCCAGCAAGTGTTTTAACTGACTAAACTCTGTGAGTTATGATAGTATAATTGTCCAGTTCCACAGCATTTAAGGTGCTTATAAAGTAAAAATGAAACTCAGTGTGTAGCCTATAAATGATGTGAGTGCCCAGCTATCAGTTCTATGAACACTGCGTAGTGAGGAGAGGACAGGTGCACCGGTAAATACCAGTAAGTACTTGTCTATCTACTATCACATTCCACAGGAAAAAAATATATATATTGTTTTTCTATATGAAACCTTTTTCCTCTCCTTCACTTACTCTGTAGAGCACAAAAACAGGGTAGGTTGCTTCTTTTCAACTCTGCTGTTGCCACGTAAGTGAAAGAGCAGAAATAACATGTGAGTGAGTTCCTGTCTGTCCCAGTTGTATGGCAAGAGTGGCAAACAACAGATGTGGTGACAGTTTGCTCTGATGACAAATATGGGCCTGTTCTGGCAGCAGCACACAACATCTTTAAACCCAATACCTCATTTTATCCAGGTGGAATTAGCAATGGGCAGCCATGGTCACCCCAAAGGAGAAAAAGGGTGGAGGAGGGTCAAATTGTCAGCATCTACTGCATCTTGAGTGTCAGAAAATAATTTGTAAAATGGCTTTGTATGAAAATTACTGAGAAGGCGTGGTAAAGGGGAGTGTAAGTGGAAAAGGCTTCTTGCACTTTTTGGTTCTAAAGTTGCTGAGTTATTTTATCAGAAAGTCTCCTGAATTAAACTCAGGCTTGCTATTTGCTCCAGTTAAAATTATCAATGCTATATGGGAAATTACGTGTGCAAAAACATTGTGTATACCAAAGATGCAAGTTAGAGCATTTAACTTTTAAGAAGAATTTTACTTTAAGTCTAAATATTAGACTAGAAAAACATCCAGCCCCAAAATTACCCTATTACTGAGTTGTTGTTTTGTGTGAAATCGTAAGTTCATCACAAATAATGTTGTCATAACGTTCCATAATTCCCATTGCCCTCTTTATTTTCTGAGTTGGATGAATGCTTTGAAAATAGGAAAATGGCTTATTCTTAAATTCATGCTGTTTTCCCCCCCCCTTAATATTTTAAAGGAATTTGATGTTTTACGTATCCTTCCTTTGTGCCTCCCACCACTGTATGTTTCTGCATGTCCAGTACTAAAACTCATTCAAACAGCTGATGCCTATGTACATAGTGTATGTGTATGAATGTATATGTTTATAAGTCTAAATACTTATGTACAGTGTATATAAAGTGTGTAGTGTATGTAAATATGTACATATATGTTCATATATGTTCAAATATTCCTGATGTTCTTTGTTAAAACTTTGGGGTTTTTTTTGTTCAGAGCTACTTAATTTTCATTTCTTAGCCCAAACTAAGCCTGGCTTAAAGCAGGTGAACACCCATGAATTTCAGAGCTTTGCCCCTTTTTCTAATCCCAGCTTGAGGTTGCTATTTTCTCTTCAATACTCAAATTCAGTGAAGCTTCTAGCTTTTTTGTTATTCTCTTCACCTTCTCTCATTTGATGGGTGAAGTGAGCCAGTAAAGAGTTGGTAGAACCTGAAATAGCTGTGAAAAATAAATGTATTAAAAACAAACAAACAAAAAAACCCACTAGTCATGCTTCCATATTTTCAATATATACTTCTCAGAAGGCTGAAAGAAAATGGCTTTTTGTAAAGTCTTTTATTTCACAGTGAAACATTGTAAGACATTAAGTCTTCAGCTGTAGTTAATTGGAAGAGAGCAGCATTTCCCTGCACCACTGAACAGCAGCACTCAGAACAGCATGCAGCCATGCCATTCAGAAATGTAATAATGAACTAAATGAAGTTTGTTGTTTATTTATTACCAAAGCTGTTGTCTGTTTTCAAGTTGTATCATTTTCTGAGGCTCCAGTCTGCAGATCTTTGCAGAGTGTGAAGCCTCCATTAATGGCGGGAGCTGGGCACAGCGAGTGGTTGTGAAACTGGACTTGAGTGAAGTCCGTTATGCATAGGGAAAGTTCAGATATCTAAGGTATCAAAACACAGGACGTTCTTGTTCGTTTTCCCTTCTGATGACTTGTGGGTACATGTGTAAGCCTGTAGAAGAAATCACATTAACTTTTTTAAGGCGTTTTTACAGACTGTCTGGGGAGTAGTTTAAGCGTGTCTTTTGTATTAAAGGTGGAGTGGAATTTTCTGGGCATTTCCCTCATAGACTCAATGTTGTGAGGACATGTGAGCATTTAACTTTGAGCAGATGGGCAGACACCAATAAAAATAGTGAGTTTCTTGCATGCTTAAAGTAAAGCACAGGCCTTTCGGAGTTGGGCTGTGTGTGAAATCTTCGCTATGAAGAATGCTAGGAATGATCTCGTTTCTTGCTATATTGTTTAGTAAGCATTTGTTTGTAAGCTCTTGTTTTAAATATAGAACTTAAAGCATCCATCTTTGTTTCAAGTCCTATTTGTGAGACCTTCAGCAGGAAAATTATCTAAATTAATGGCAGGAATTCCTGTGACAGATGGTCCTTCGTTGGTGTCATGACAATCAGTGTGGTCTGTATAATGCTTCCTTTCCCCTTCAAAGGCTTGAATGAAAACCTGAATGTCTCTTAATTAATGTCAATGTAAAGTTTTAAAGACTAGGAAATGGACTGCTGAGGTATTGATGTGAACTGAATCTATTTAAGCAGTCAATTGTGAATTTGTTTTATATACATGGTTGAATTGTTTTTATTCTGAAGAACAAAATGTTCTCAAATGTAAGTGACAGTAAAGCAGATGTTGTAATATTCTACAGGAACTGTGGAACGTGTAATTGGCTTTCTGTATTTGATCACAGAAAACGAAAGTCTAAGAAGCACATGTTGCCAGGTACCCAGCACTCCTGAACGATTGGCTTCTTGTACATTTTTTTAATGATCTTAGGTAAACAGTAACAAAGCACAGGTCCATTTTAAGGTATTTTCTACAACTGTAGATTAAAAGTAGTTTAGTTCATGAATGAAAAAAAATCTTTGAGAAAAAAACATGTTGCTTACATAGTATATGTTTCATCATAAATGAAGTTAAGGTAAAAATGTGGGAATCTTCTTTTAGTTTATCTGTACCCCAAAACACTTGCGGCTGGGGTTCAAACAGTTGACCTGACTGAGAAACTGCACACTGTGTACATGCTGTACCCATTTGGCCTAGCAGGCAGAACTGAGCTCCTACTCAAATAGCTCATCTTATGAAAGGAACAATCTACTTTTAATTCTTTGGGATACTTCCTAGAAATCTGATTACTACCCTTTAGAAAAGTATCATTTGTGCTATTAGATTTCAGGTTTAGGTATCGCAGGCGTTACTCATTTCTCACAGCTTCTTTTGTGAAATCAACATTCTATGTGTGAAAGCCTATAAAAATAGCATGGTCTTTTTTTTAATATGGATTTTATACCTAATCAGCGTCTTCAGTTCATGAAGAGGAATTTGCATTGTTGTCTTTATATAGAGTATTGCAGTGCATGGTTTAGCTTATGCATTTTATTAAATGCTGTTTCAGTGTGGCTTTATATTGTTGTGGCTTAATACTACTACCTAAGTGAGGTTTATATGATTAAAGTGAATTACAAATATAAATGTACTCTTGATTTATTTTTTTTCTTATTTTTAGGTTCACTGAATTTCTTAAATGTTGTATGTCTGAGCCCAATGCATTACAGAAATGGACATTCCCATTCACTACAGTGATTATTAGAGATTTGCCTGGCCATAATATACAAGATAAATCCTCTGAACCTTACTGTCCTGAGGGAGCTACTGCTGTAACAAGTTGAGAAAGACTTCTTTTCCTAGCTGTAATTTATCTTCTTTAGACTTACGTGTTTCTCCTGAAGGTACTGGAGGAGATGATACTGTTTCCTGCTGCTGTTCTACTCCTGGGTTTTAAGTAAAGGTAGTGTTGGATTTCAGTTCCCTTCACCCTTGTATTAAGTATAATGAAACTGGACTCTATTTTGAATGGTAAACAGATCCTTAATTTTATGTATAATACGTCTGAGGGAAGCACATCTATTCTTATGGCAAAGATACCGACTTAATTTTTTGCCGATGCTATTAGAAGCTTTGCAACCTCGAGCTCCGCGTTCCATTTCACAGAAATAAGGCTGAAAAGAGTTTTGGCTTCGGTTATCAAACCTCGGTGCCTCCAAGAAAAACGTCCATGAAACCGGCAACTGCCCCTGACGAGGGCGGCCGCCCGAGCGGCGCGGGTGCGGGCGGCGCGTGCTCCGATGCGGGCTGCCTTCCCGCGGTCGCGCAGATCCGCTGAACCGCAGCCCTGGCGCGGCGGGCCGCCGCGTATCTGCCCCGCCTGCCGCCGGGCCGCGCGACGCCGGTGACGGACGGACGGCCCGGTGCGACGGCTCTGTCCCTGCAGAGCTTCCCGAGAGCGACGACGGCGAAGACGCCCGCGGACGCACCGACCGCGCGGACGTCGCCGCCCCCGGCCCGGCCGCGCCCTTCCGCGCAGCTGCGGGGCGGTGCTTCCCCGCACTTCCGGCGGCGGCGCGGGCGGCGCGGGGCCGCCGCCATGCCGATGAAGGGGCGCTTCCCCGTGCGGCGGACGCTGCAGTATCTCAGCCAGGGCGACGTCGTTTTCAAGAGCTCCGTGAAGGTTATGACCGTGAACTACAACACGGCGGGGGAGCCGAGCGAGGGGGCGAGGTGAGCGCGGGCCGGGCTCCGGGGTCTCGGAGCGTCGCCGCCCACCTCGTACCGTGCCGTTCTTTTTCTTCCTCCTAGGAAGTTTGTGTTTTTCAACATCCCCCAGATCCAGTACAAAAACCCCTGGGTGCAGATCATGCTTTTCAGGAACATGACGCCTTCGCCCTTCCTCCGTTTCTACCTCGGTAGGTGCCGCGGGGCCGCTCCGCGCTCTGCCCCGCTCCGCGTCGGCCGCCAGGTCGGCGCTGCTGGGGAGGGGAAGGGCGCCGTGATGTGAGCGCCGCCGCCCGCGCTCGGTTACCCGTTGGCTGACACTCACGGCGGCTTCACCTTCCTCGCTGAAAACTGCATCGACTGTAGCAAAACAGGAGCTGTTTTTTCATCATATCTTTCTTTGAAGTCCTTTTTTGCAGCTACCGTGAAGGTATGCACTGCTACACTGCTGTGAATTTTTTAACAGATAGCGGAGAACAAGTTTTGGTTGATGTGGAGGATAAAACCAACAAGGAGATAACTGAGCACATTAAAAAAATTCTGGGCAAAAGCAAGTAAGTAACTCATAATATGAAGCTAATGTTCATTCCCTCTGGCATACATCTTAGTACAGGCCCTAGAAGCCTCTAGGGTCAACAGAAATAAAGAGAAATTCATCAGAACTGGTCTTAGCCAGGGAAATCCATCTTCCTGGTTAATTGTAGCCTGGGAAGAGATGGGTAATGTTGGCAGGTAACAAACAGATTTCTTTTTTTCTAGAGAAACACTTGAAAAAGAGGAAAGAGAGAGAGAAAAACTGTCACATCCTGCAACTTTTGGGCCCAAGAAGTATCATCTGCAAGAGTGCATGTGTGAAATTGAAGGCCAGGTTCCTTGCCCTGCCTTTGTGCCACTGCCCAAAGAGATGAGAGGAAAATACAAAGCTTCACTGAAAAATGAATCATCTGCCTGAAATCTCAGGTCATACAGCTGTGTTTCCTCAGGGCTGGATGATCACGGTGGTTCTTCAGAGACAAGTGTTAACAAATCCTGGAAATGGGAGCAAGTTCATGTGATACTGACATCCCCATCTCATTACAGCCACAGCTAGAATAATTATTGTGAAAAATATTATCAAATAAATGTAAGTTTAAAAAAAAAAAGCAGCTTTTGGTGTGCCAGTTTGCAAACAAAGCTGGGTGAAAGCAACAGAGAAAGCAATGAGTGGAGCTCTATTTCCTACTCATGCCTGCAGGCATAAGGCCATAGCAAAAACAGGATGGCTGATGTTGCAGGGGACCTCTGGAGGTCATCTTGTCCAGGACTGTGCCCAGATAGCTTCTGGAGATCTGAGGGAGAGAGCACCACCACAGCCTCTTGGACAGCCTGTGCCAGAGCTCACTCACCCTCACAGCTGGCATTTTTAGCGATGTCCAGAGGGATCCTCCTGTGTTCCAGTTTGTGCCCGTTTCTTCTTGCCCTGGCATTGGGCACCACTGGCACTATCATCCTTGTACTCAAGGTATTGATAAACACTGATAAAATTCTTCCTGCCCCAGCCTTCTTTTTGTTAGGCTGAGCAGTTTCACCTCTCAGCCTTTCTAAGAGATTCCCATCTCTTAATTATCTAGATGGCCCTTGGCCTCTCACCAGTGTGACCATAGCTCTCTTGTACTAAGCCCAGAACTGGACACAGGACTTCAGCTGTGGGGTAGGGTTGTAGTACTTCCCAGTGCTGAGTGGAGTTGCAGGATCAAGTCCCTCAGCCTGCTGGCAGTGCTTCACCAGCTGTAATGCCTAAGTTCGTATTTGGGATAAGAGACTAGGCAAAGAATCTCTCTTAAAGCAGCACAGCATGCCCTGGGCATGTTTTAATTGCTCCTGCTGTTTTCCAGCTTGTACTATCTGAAGGAAGACCAGTGATAACATACCCCTGCCTGCAACTTAAATGCTGAATTTTCTTGCTTAACTGATTTGGTTGTCACTTAAAGTCTCATTTATCAAGAGGAGTTACAGCTTTGAGAAGCACTGAAAAGAATATCAACAAAGGAGAACAGGCAAGTTGATATTTAAACATATGCCTTAAAACAATCTTCATTATTCTTAAAAAAAAAAGTAGCTTTTTAAATACAGAAAACCCCAACCCATACAAAGGAGAACTGGATCTTAAGAGCTTCCAGCTAATTCTAGCCAGCAAGACTGTTGTGCTGGAGTCGAGTACTGTTGTACATCTTCTGATGCTACTGGCCCCTGTCCACACAGTTTTAGATCACAGTAGTTTCTGCCACGTGTGATTACACTGTAACAGCATATAAATACCCAATAGTACTACATTGCTTTTAGTATTTACTTGCATAGACCATTAAGTCAGTCTTATATGCGCAAATTACTCTAGAAATAGTTATCAACATTTCTGAGCTAATGGTTGAATGCAACATTTCACACCAGTTTTTAAGGGATGCTTGAATTATCAGGGGCGAGTACAGCACAAAATAGATGTTACTTCATCCCTTTTTTTACAAAGTTTCCATGCAAAGTACGCATGCAATTTTAAAATGTCAGTGCTAGTTACTAGTTTTATAGTTGTCTTCATTTTGTTGTGCCCTGGGAGCCTCACAGCAGTCCAAATACCAGCATACGGTCTTCACAGGGGAGAGAACTTCAGTATCAGTGGGCTGATCTACCACAGTTCATGCTATCAATGGCCATGAGGTATGCTACTCACAAAAACACGTTGTTACATGTACAGAATGATACTTTATTAGTGTAATTAGGCTGAACATACAAATAGTGCAGGACAGTTACAACAAGGAAAACACTCTTAAATGGGAGAGCTGAAGCCACTGAAATATTCTTTTCATCTCGATATCAAAAGGAGTTTTGGGTTATAATGCAGGGAGCACTCCTTGAATAGCAAACTAGTCTGCCTTGAATAACTTGTACTATTTATTTTTAAATGAACAATTCTCGGGATAAACTTTAGCTATCGATAATTTTTGCTGCCTTTGTAAATCTAATGCCAGAGCACAGAATTCTAGTTTACAACCTTTCAGAATTCTGCTGCACAGACGGTTGGCCCATTTTGCACACAGCAGCACTTCACTCAGCAATAACAAAACGTACTGGCATAAAAAACTGAAGTTCTTCAGACGACCCATTCTGCACACCTTTCAACTTCAGATTTAGGCTGCAGTAAGAACAACTGTCCTGCTGCACTGAGTTATTCTGATCGGTTATCAGTGGTACTGAGGGTACGTTTGTTGGTTTTGTTTAAACAGAAGTACATACCTCCAACATATTTAAAAGAAAACAAATCTAGAGTTCCTACTGTTTAAATAGCACAATTATTTGTGTTTCTGAAATACTAATTAGTGTCCCAGATACAGCTATGTTATTCATATGTTACTGGAGACATAGTTAAGAGATGTCCCACTCCACAAAACTTTGTCCTTCTCAGTTAAGTCCAGTACTATTAGTGTGAGAGTATGATCAGCCCGATATCCTCCACTTCAGCTTTAATTAAATGCACCTTTTTTAATTACTCCTCCCAACCACCTTTTCAAACGCTAATGTCTGAAGATGGGCATCTGCATCTCAAAGGAGGGGGGAGGGGGAATGCAGCTCAGACTGTCCTTAGCAAAATACATGCTGACTTAACATTGAACAATCCTAGATTTTACAATACCAATCTTCAGAAGCCCTCCTGCACCACAGGAGCTGGCCTTCACGTAGTCACTGCCGTGGGCAGAGGTCCACACTAAGATTCCCATCTGGACCTGCTTACTGAAGACACACATACCTGATTCTTGTAACTTCTGATGAGAATCAAGTATAAAATAGGAACTTATATTTGGCACAATCACAGCCCAGCTTTCACAGAATTCCAGTTCAGTGGCAGTTTAGCTCTCCATTGCAAACAGGATTTCTGTTCTTCAAACGTTACAGAGGATTCAAGTCTCAGATAAGACAAATATGATCATTCTGTAACACAGAGAATATAAAGGAATGTGCACGTTCCTGAATATAATTAGGAATTTCAAGGTCACCCTTAATACTACAGCTTGAAATGATGCTAGCCTGATGTTCTGAAAGTATACTCATCTACATATTCATTCCCACACACGCAGCTCTGAAGCCAGTGTGGCCCTCTGTTACACTGCAGTTTGTGCCTAGAGCAACTGGGAAACTAAAAGTAACGACGAGGTGGCACCTCAGTTCTACCTAGGAGTTCTTATAAACACATTTTAAAAGTTACTCATATTAAGATCAGTGAAGTCTCTAATAGTTTTTAAATCCATTTTATGTATTATTGCACAAAATTGACCTGTATCCTGCATCTCAAAGAATAACAGAAGCCTTTCAACAGCACTTTCTTGCAACTCTCTTAGGACAATTAGACTGGCCTGTAACTTACACTGTGCCATTCTCAGAAGATGCAGAAATCTTACAAACACTTTTGTCTCTCCAGTCAAAGCTCCACTTGAAAAGCCAGCTCAGCCAACCCTGAAACCACTTCAAAGTGACAGTTCCCTATTACTGCTCAACCCTTTTGACCAAAATAAGCACACTGTAAGACAAATTAGTATTAAGATGGTTGTAACAAGTTATTGTAAGTTTTTCTTAGTATGTTTTCTTAGCATGTGTGTCTTAGTTCAAGACCAGCAGCATTCCTCTTATCTTCTTTCTTCTAGGCTGAGTAACATTGGGAATACATAAATGAACGTGTATTAAATAAAATACAACATTCTCCCCATTCCTTGCAATCTGTAGCGCTGTTTATAACTGCTTCATCTTCCATCTCTTAACAGTGAACTTGAGATAACTATTACAAGGCGATTACTGCTTCAACACTTGGATTTCTCCTTTTGTTTTGCTAACGTGTACTTCAGTTCTTTCAAGTTCTCTGTCAGTAGCTCCACCTCATCCATTCGTCCACTATGCTTGGCATCAAATATGTAGGCTTTTATATTATCTATCTGCTGGAGAAGCAGTTCCTCCTCTATAGCCTCCTCTCTTAAGATCTCACTGACATCCTCCACTTCAAAGGGATTGGTAGAAGATCCTTCTTCAAATGGATTTCCAGAATTCCAATTGTTCCCAGACTTTTGAAATGGATTTTCATCCTCTTCGAAGGGATTTAAAGTACTGGCAGATGCTCTAGGTGAACTAGTTTGCTCACCTTCCTCCTCATTTTCAAATGGATTATATTCTTTTTTATCACTTTGCAGAGCTGTGTTAAAGAAAGAAATCGGTTGAGATACATCTTTGGCAAATGGGTTAGTGGGATCTTCCTCTGACAGAGGGGTATCTGCTTCATCTTCAAAGGGGTTTAGACCGGCTGCCTGATTTTGGTCTTTGTCACTCTGTGGAATATTCTGATGTCTGACTGGAAAGATTAAGTACTCTTTAGCTGGCAGATGCTGAACAGCAGTAGTTTCAAAACTTCGATTCCCTTTCACTTGATTAACATCCAAACCCAATCCATGTGCAAACAAGTTCTGATTCTCTTTCGCAGCTTCATACTGATGTTGCTTGCCTTCTCTGAAATCTAGGGAGCCTGTCCTTGAATGCTGAGAAGTGAATTTGTGGTGTTCTCTTTCCCACTCTTTTTCACAAAGGAACTGAAGTTCTTCCCTCTGTTTCTCTTCCTCTTCTGCCTGTTTTTTAGAAAGCTCAATAGCTTTTAGAGTTTGCTGTTGATCATACTCATCCTGAAGTTGCCTCAGGTTTTCTTGCAACATCCTGACTTCATCCAGTCGATCAGCTGCTTTTGCTTGCTTAATAAAGGATGTGATGTTGTCAATCTGCTGAAGAAGTGGGTCTGCTACCTCACTCTGTCGAGCTGCGCTAGATGTAGGTAGCCAGCCTTCAGATTTCTTGACTGTTACATTTCTAAGGAGAGTTGCATCACCATTAACTGCACTTGCAGATCTGTAAGTCAAGTCTTTCTGCTTCTCGTCTTGTTTTCTGTGCGTTTCAAGAGCTGCCTAAAACAAACGTATACAGAGAGAACATGAGCTTGAAAAATTCCATTTTTAACTTTCATATTTACCAAAATTAGGCTGTGTACCTTAGATACTGCTGTCACAAACATCAATTCAGTCTTTAGTTACTCTGCAAAAAATGTTCATTTTTGTAACGTTACCTATTATTTCTTAATGAAATCTATTCACATCTGCCTGTACAAACTTGAAGTCCAGAAGGAGCAGTGACAGGGCTGAATATAGAGCGAAAGATACCTCAATCCAGCTGTTCAAAGAGATGCCTCAGGCAGATTTGGACACTGACCATCCCGCATCCACCCACAGCAGATGCTTCTGTAATTGGGCAGTGTAAATACCAATTACATGATTAGCCTTTGGAATGCAATTACCCGTATTTCTTAATTTCTACTGCAACACCAAGCTGGTTTATTTCTCAGTTAGCGATGTCCTTCCTCCCGAGAATCTCTTCTTGAAGCTGCATCCACGTCTTTAAATTTTTTTAAACCACCTGGAGAAGTCTTCAAATTCCACTTGTACAAATGACTCAGTTTAAAGCTTTTTGCTGCAGTACAGGCAGAACAACAGCACCCTCAAACAAGCCACTGCTGCTTTCTAGAAGCGTCCAGCTTTCAGTACACGTCTCTCTGTTCTGGGAAGAACTACAGTGACTGTTACACAAATCCCTGAAAACAAGCATGGAATGATCTGCACAGAAAATGAGAAAAGAAGAACTCCAGTCTTAAGGACAGCTGCTCATACACAGGTAGCTACTTACACATCAAGAGAAGCTATGAATTGTAAATAATTGTGTGTCTGTTTAAGTCCTTGAAGGAGGCCCTCATACAAATACAGATCTTAACCTGCCTTACCATATGCAGTCTTCTCTTCTTCAGCTCGTCATATTGATCTTTGGTTGGCAGGGACATTAGGCCAAACAGTTTTTCCTGCCAAATATTGAAATATTTACAGTGAACGCTTGCAGGCATTCAGGTTAGTTTTAAAGTACTTGAAGGAAACACCAACAAATGTTCCACAGACAAGTATGAGGTACTCCTCCATTGCAGTCACCTTTCCAAGCTGGAACACATCGTGGCTGCTGTAACTATACTACTAGCTAGGCTGGGGCTCTGCCAGAGACAAAGCCAAGACTTACAGATTTTCTTAGGCCCCTGGACCAATGCTGCTCTGACTATGCTATCCATATTCAGAGTGACTGGAGGAAAGCTACAGAAGTAAATCTCTATAGAAGTAAGCCTTCTGTCAAAAGAAGTCTTAAGTCACACAGATGGGCAGCAAAGAACAGAACACTACATAAAATTTAGCTCATAACATATGCTCTATTTACCTGAACAAAAAGAGTAGCCGAGTATCTTATCATTCTCTGAAGCTGTAGTGTTTTAGGATGAGGCTGGGGCTCTTCGTGCAAGCCTAGACTCAGAATCTTCTTACTGAATCAAAGCAAACATAAGCTCATCCATTCAACCACAAGGGCCAAGGAAAATACAACAGAAAGAGAGGGAGACAATACCAAATGAACATTTTTAGATGTTCTATTAGGTAAGCCACTCTAAATATTACCAGCAGTAATCATTAATTTATTCATTTATTTTAACTATGCCTCTATTTGCTTCCTCGGTGCATGCTTAGAAAAGGAAACCGAAATTGATGGTGCACAGGAACAGCATCTACTTTTCAACATGCTCTTTACAATGGCGCAGGCAAGTTGGTTGTATGAAGAAGCAAAAGCCCCGGTAGTTGTGGATAAGAAGGAGAGTTATACAAGCTGTATTGGAAGAAGGGAGAAACATAATTCAGTGTGTGCATAGAGCAAGAGAGAGCGCGTGAACTTCCTTTACCTCAGGGCATCTATAAGTTCGTACACTTTTTGAATCTCCACCCTCAAGTCATTCGCATGTTCCAGACTGTAGGTTGTCTCCCCAGCACTACAAAATAAACACAACTTCACTGTAAGTCGTACCTCCAGTGAACGATACATACAACACTAAAAGCCATCCCAAGATGTCAACAAATGTGAGGATAAATCATCCATTAAAATGCTTTTATTTCAAGCTCAATGTATTTAGAAACCCTTTCTTGCTGACAGAGTGGAAAATATCAACCTGTAAACATGAATATTTACAAGTACAGGAGAAATTAATTTTAGTATAAGAAGAACCTCAATCTATCAATAATACTTAAGATAAATATACACAACAAATGCACCTATTCTGCTTTTTTTTTTCCAGGCGTAGAAAAAGCCTCGCTGATCAAATAAGCAACTACAACATTAAAACAAGTTTTCTACTTCTGTTTGTCATAAAGCAGAAGTCTGCAAACCCACGTAGGCATAATATTTAAGATTCTAGCAACTGAGTCCACGTGGAGACACTATCACTAATTGTCATATTTATTGAAGAAAACAAATTAGTATTTTATATGGAAGCACTTCAGAGTTTTTAAGCTTGCCCTTCCTTTTGTGCCTGACACATACAAAAGCACCATCATGCTCTCAAAAGCAACCTTCCAGGACTCCACACGATCAGCAGCAGCACTCCTAATTCATTCCGTAACTCCATCTTCAAAGCTACAGAACTGGTAAGATAGGCCAGCCCAGTGACGGGGGACCAACCACATCTCAGTATGTGATTATGTGCCTCTGAAGAGTCAAAACAGACACAGTTATTTCTGCAGCTGGATCGACTAAATGAAATCTGAATTAAGGAAGGAACCTCTCTATTATTTCAACAGAAAAATTCAGGAAGTAGGGAAAATAAAACCACCTGCATTTTTTGTAAGGCTGCACAGAATGCATTTAAAGTAGTAAAAATCCAAATAAAAAGTCACAGGAGCCTAGTTTATATCTCCTTTGGGGCAATTTCCTCATCTTCGTGTGCTGCAGAGCTTCCTTCTATGCCTTTGGGGATTCCTTGAAACGTATCGATGTCAGCAATACCACAAATCCCAGGGGTAACTTTTTTTTCATAGCCAAGTAATGTACTGTTTTTACTTCCTGTCTTCACTACTCCATGGCATTTCATGTATTAAACACACGTTGCAGGCTTACATCATTTACCCCAGATGACAAGTCTTTTAGCAGGTCTTATATATATATGAGCTTATATATATAGGCTTATATATAATTACATTATCTATTACTTAATTACATTGAGTAATATAGCAATAAAATTCTGAGTACACTGAAATCAAAAGCTAGTTATAACTGGTAAAACTCTAAAATTTCTCTAATTCTACAAATAAAAATATAATCCTAGCACTTTTTTTAATACAGATTTGTGGCAAGAAAATATTAATTCAGTTAATATTAAGTCATAAGTTAAGTTATCCCAGGGATGATACTCATCAGATTTAAGACTTGCTTCAGTAATCTAGTTTGTGAATTAACTTAAGCTTTGGATAATTTTTGTCTAGATTGAAACAACAGAAAAACCTAACACTTCCTCATGACCTACCCACACCCACAGCCTTACCACACCTACTCCTTGCCTACTTTGCAAACTTACAGGGGAAGAAATACACATACATTCACGAACAAAATCAGCAAGTGGGGCTTACTTCAGAGATTCTGCCATCCTTACGTATTCTGGTGCCTTCTGGTCAACCTTCTCCATGCAGAGTCGGAGTTTCTTTAGCAATGCACACAAAAGCAGAACTCGTATCAGAACGCTGACAGAAGCACCTGCTGACGCAAACCTTTCAACGTGCCTTCAAAGCTAATAGCTGTGAAAGCCATCTAACTTCTCAGGATCACAAGGTGCCCGGTTATCTTGGGAACACAGATGGCATTGTCAAGAACAGAGACAGAGTCTCCATTCCCCTGCAAGATGAACTCTGATGTTTTGATGGACAACTTCCAGTCTTACTGTCTTCACAGAAAAGCACTAACAGAAATCCCCATTAATATTAAACGTGGGGCTGGGAGAGGGGCTTGCAGGTTATCAGGAAGATTCCCAATGAACATCAGTACCTGCTATTAAAGCATATTTGAACACAGAATTCCAGCCGCACGCTGCTGTTCCACTTAATGCTTGCCACTCGAGTGGGGACAAATGGTTCTTACAGCACCAAGTTGTATAGTTTTAGCAGAGCCCTAACAAACAGAGCTTAGCAGAGCTAACTGACACCAGCACAAGCACATAATTGATTTTAAAAGAACGGTTCTGTCAAATCCCAGTTGACGTTATTCACAATGTTTAAGGGACATCTCAAAACCATTAGTTCCAGATGAGAACAAAAAGGAAAATGAGAACAAGGTTTTAAGCCACCACAGGATGTAAATAATATACGGCCTCTGAATGCTACTTTCAGATTTATCTTTGCTATTAGAATATTAAGCCATAAAGGACTCGGATGCGAGAACAAGCAAGGAGTTTGATTTACCTCATAGAGTTTCACAATCTCTGGAGTGTATTCTTTCTCATCAATCTGTTGTTCTCTTTTCAGCAGAGTATCTTTGCAGTGCTGACAGCAACGGATTTGGTCATCATCCTTCTCATCCAGAACAGAGCTCACACTGCTTATACTGCTAATGCTGCCTCGGCGGGAGCCGTGCACGCTGTTAGGTGAGGCGTTGGGGCTAGTGTGAGAACTCAAGGCCTCTTTACTGGCACTGGTGAGTTTGCCTAGAAATTATGCATGGGTAATGTTACAGTGACATGAGAAGCCAACAGATTTCACCAACACTAATATTGCACTTCAACAAAAGCTAGCATTACCCAAAATACTAGAAGACCAGCTTGAACAGACTGCTGAAAGACACAAAAGGAACACATAACAACCAAAACTACAAATCCGAATTTGGGTCTTCACTGCAAGGTCCTGCTTCACTTTAAAAGCAGTGAGAGAACATACTACTGGAAACCACTCACTTTGTTCATGCCTAGTAGCATTCTCACACTGGATCTTGCAGTTATAAAAAAAAAAAAACACATGGAAAAGTGGATATGTTAATACTATCCTTATTTTGTGCTGGAAATCTCTGGAAAGCCCAATTAACATCATTTATTTCCACAGAAAAATAGTCTCCTTTCCAATGCACTAGATAAGGAAAGTGAAGTTGGAAGGGCTTCTTAAAGGCTTGTGGATTAATTCCCTTCATGTCAGCATTTGGACAGCCATGGGCAAGACTCAACACTTCAAAATGGTATGGATATTTCAACAATCTTGGCAGTTATGACTCCCAAAATTAATACTGTCATAGCTGCAATACTCAGAATTACACTACTTACAGCATTAGTTTGTGCTGGTATACTTCAGTGTTTTGTTGAAGGTAATCTAAAATTTCTGACGCTAAAGGAGGAACACAAAGAATAGAGAAAGCATTCTTATTCTGTTTTACACACAAGTGCCTGCATGGAATTGAAGGACACCTTCAAGGAGGAGTTTTCCATACCTATAGGCAGAATATATTAAGCTTGTTTCTTTGTTGCAAAAAAAAAAAAAAAACCAGGATGCGTTCAGCACTCTGAGTGAGATAAAGAAAGGAGAGATTAACACCACCCTCCACACTTACTTGCCAAGGGAAGACTGATAAGTTCCATGCACCTCTTGCACATTATAGACCCGCACAGCCGGCAGTGGTGACGCCTGTTTCGCATGCTGAACTTATTGCCACAGTCTGGGCAGAACGGAACGTCCTGGTCATTGACCCAAGGCACAACAGACTTCTCTATAGCTGTAATCGGGTGGAGGAGGAGGCAATACACACAATGTAAGACGTTAGTCCAATTAATTCCTTAGCTGGGAAACTAGAGAGGCATACAGTCTGAGGTAAGCTCTTACCAACCTCTTATTTTAGCTGACTCGGTGTTTGCTCTGTCAAAGGATGTAAGCTAGAAGATAAACAACACATTAAAAGAAAAAAAACAACAAAACTTTTCCTCCTTACAGAAGCACAAAGACAAAGAACCCACAACACCCCCCGCACACACCCATCAAGTTAAAAAATGTGTCTTTTAAAAAGATAAAATAGGAAGATGTCTGAATTTGGCATTAAGATTCAGACCAGTGATAAACAATTACTGCCAAAATTACAAGAGTCAGAATATTTTGACACAATTCTTACATCATCCAACATTATCGTGTCTGAGTGAAAATGCAAGTTGGCAAGTGGAGGATTTTACAGAACAAATAGCTTGACAAAAGCAAAAGGAGTAATCCTGTAAAGTAAAAGATGAAGAAAGCACGTGAAGTAGCATCTTGTGCTTGAAAATACTGTACAGAAACAGAAACCATACCCACAGTACAGAGTACAGCCAAACACACTACACAAGGATATAAAGGGAGGACAGTAAGATGTGAAAAGACTCAGTTTACTACTGTTTAACAATTGCACTGCCACATAAATGGGCACCCTTTGCACTAAAAGAGAATTTTTTATTTAAGAAACATTTAAATGGTTGGAATATTAAGTAGTAACAAGATTACCTTTTCTAACCTGATCAACAACTTATTGACTTCAACCACATAGTGATCAATCCTGGCTGCTCGGTATTTCTTGAAATTGGAAAGATGGCTTCTCATAGCACCTTAGGGAGAGAGAACTCAGAGTCACTCAGTGTTCTACACGAATTTAAACACCTTTCAAAATGCAGCTCTTCCTTTTTTTCCCACCATTTATTTTTTCAGATTCAAATGAAATTTTGACACATTAGAATTCCAAGTTTTCACAGTACTGAGTAAAGCACGCAGGCCAGCCTCCAGATAGCAATGAGCAGTGTTTTATTTCTACTACAGTAAAGCAAAGAAGACTACATTAAAGAAAACATTTGCAACAGATTTTTTGTCATCTTTATCCCTCAGTTACATCTGGTAAGGTGTTACCAGCCAGTCTTGTTGTCAAGAACTGCTCCTGTTATTTCCTTACTACATCTGGAACAAACACAAGATGCAAGTCCAATGATTATCTGAGGCCTATGCAACAGCAGCTTCTTCCAGATTGCTATCATCCTTCTCACCTTTAGGGGTCTGAACCAAATCCTTGATCATATCACAGATTTGCAGAAACCTCATCACAAGTATACAAAAGAAGAATACAGCATCTATTTAAATATATAATTCATTCTCAATAAACCTGGGTTTAGGTTTTGATCTTTTCCACAAGCCAGATATTAAAAAAATCAGAGTTACAGTCAAAAATTCTTCCTCTTCTGACTAGTAGAACAAAAGCAGATGTTGCTCCTTGACACTAACTGTACAATGACACTTCCTCGTTGTAATGAAATACGTAGAAACCTCTCTGTAGCCAAATTCATAGGAAGGGGAGAGCCCCTCTGAGTAACCTGATTCAATCTCTGCAGTGGAGACATTATAGAAACCCCTACATCCCTCCACCAAATCATGTTAAAATCTGCAAGATTCATCTTCTCCACTCTGGTTATTTAAAAAAAAAAAAAAAAAAAAGCCAGTTATCTGCAAAGCTTGGATTCTGCAGTCCCAAAGGACTAAATTCCTCATCTGTCAGCACCACAGCAGAACTTTCAGGACCCACCAGAGACAGTGCTGCCTCCTCCCACCTAAAAATAACCACAGCATTTCTATAATAGTAAAATGCAACTTCCACCAACAGTATCTGTAAGTACAGACTCATTCAACATATTTGCTAACTTCTGCAATGTCTGACCCTGCAGCCAGAGTTTGGCTGCTTCTTTTTTAAAGTGAAATGACTTAATGATAGATTACCTGTACCTCAAATCCAAAGAAATAGCTGGTGGAGTTTGAACTAAGGGATAAGCAATAGTTTATATGTCTGGCAAAACACCTGCTTTAAGAGTGACCAAAAAGCCATAGATTTAACACGGCTGTAGCAACATTAAATAGTAGTGGAATAATAATGGATTCTCACCTGTTTTGTAAGAAGCCAGATGGTGATGGTTGCAGAAACGGTAAAGCTGGATGCACAGAGCAAAATATGTACCAAAAAGAACTCCATAGCTCAGACCCAATGAAATGACTGCTTTTGAGAATAGTCTACATCCTAGCTCTATAGATCTTCCCTCCCCACCCCTAATCCACACTTTCCTCATCATCCTATACAAGGCATGCAGGCAGCAGAGGATCGATATGCAAGCCATGACTCCACACTACAGTAAATCACATGTAATACAAACAATTCCACACAGCTTCAGCAATACTCACTTTTTCCCTATTAAAATTAAAAGTTACCTCCACCATGTATGGCTCTCAAGCTCACCTACCTAGCTCTTGGGGCTCCCACATGTATGGATCTATGCCACCATAGCTGAATGACTCATATCGTTCCTGAGATCCAGAATCAGTTCTGTCATCTCCTTCTCGTTTCAGCAATTTCTTCTTTGCTCTCTTGGCCTTCTGGACAAGACCTGAAAATAGACAAGCCCGCATAAAGAAGAGCAGGCAGTTCGCCTCTCAGTATTCATCTTGTGAAACTAGGATGGTGTACTTCTTACCATCTGGAACCAATCTCTTGCCTTCACAACAAGTCAATATGCTCTGTTAAGAACCAACGTATTGTTCAGCGTCACCAATGGCAGGAAATGCTTTCTGTTATCTGTTAAAGTAGTGCTGCTGTCCTAATGACAAACAGGTAATTTTAGGCATTCCATACAGGGGCATCACTATAAAAGAGTGGACTGTATCAAACTGTGAGACCCTACTTCATAGAGCACTGGCAGATTGTATGTGCGCTCTTAATTCCTAATAATTTTTCTTTGGATTCAAGGACGTTCCATACCTTCTTTGTACTTTTGCACAGAAGCACAAGCTAAGAATATCAGTGTGCTGTGCACCCAAGCAATTTCAAAAGAACTGAAAGATCACCACATTATCTTGTACAACAGCTAGTGAGAGGAGAGCAGTTTCCTGGGTTAAAAAGAAAACTTCAAACTCCAGCATTTTTATGTTGGCAGAAGGTAAGGACACCACTTCTTTCGGTAAACACATTCAGTATCTTCTAGAGTTAATTCCCTTAGACATCTGCTGAAAGCCGGGTGGCAGGTGTAATGCTATAAATGATGTTAAGTGACGTTAAGTACAGCAATAACAGCACAGTAGTAAAGTCCCAGGCTGGTACCTGGCAGAAAGTTCCCCCGTTCTTTAAGGCCTCCGACTAACGCCTGGAAACTCACGTGCATTACAGTACGAATCGGGAGTTCTCACGTAAAAAAACGTGCCCAGAAAACAAACAAAAGCCAACAGCAACCCGCAGCACCAAGCGCCGCGGCCGAGCGGCACGGAGGCCTGCAGACCAGGAAGCGGCCGCGGCAGGAACGAAGGAACGCGACGCGCCCGGCCCTGCGTACAGCAGCGGGGCTCCGGGCCTCTCTCGTCCCGAGCTTCCGTCGGCGTTCCAGCGCCGGCAGGAATCCGGAGCGCCCGCGGCACGGCGGCTTCCGCCGTGCGGGACTCGACACGGCAGACGGGAGAACGCCGGGAAACCGCCGCGGCCCTTACTTCGGAGCTGGCCTCTGACGTCTCTGTCCTCGCCCAAGTGCTCCTCCTCGTAGTGCGCCCGCAGCTGCTGGAACGCCTGCAAGTCCTTCAGGCACAGCGGGCACAAGAAGCCCTCCCGCATCTCCGCCGCGTCCCCGAACGGCGGCGCGCAGCCGGACGCCATGGCGCCGCGAGCTCAGCGCTGCGGCATCGCCGGCGACGTTCAGAAACGCGGCGCCGCGGAGCGGGGCGGGGCGGCCTCTCCTCGGGGCGGGCCTCCTGTGGCCGCGGAGCTACGCGAGGGACGAACCCGCAGCCCGGCTCCGCAGGAAGGATGGGAGAAGACGAGGGGCGGAGCGGCGGCTGAATCGAACAAAACGGCTCTGGGCGGACGGAGCTCAGGAGCCGGACCGGGACCGGCGCCGCGCGGACGATGGGGCGGGGCTTCACCTCACGCTGAGGGGCTCCCGCCCCGCCCGGCCGGGGGCCGCCGCCAGCCCCAAGGCTCGGCCCCACGCTCCCCGGCTTGTCCCCTCGCCTTGGCTCCAGGCAGGAGCTGCGCGGCCCCGTCTCCGCCGTTCGCACTCGCTCGGTGGATCCCGAGCGGCCCGGAGCAGCAGAGCCCGGCGGAGGGCGGGGCGAGCGCCTAGGTACGGATGGACGGGCGGGACTTGGGCTCGGCCTGCGGCGGGGGCGCTACCGACGCGCGAAACGGGTCCGGCGTCACGGCCGTGAGGCGCCCGTGCTCGGGGCGGGGCTCCGGCTGGGCGGGCCGACGGACTGCGAAGGCGTTCCGAAGCGGCCGCGGGGAGGAGCGGAGGCGCACGTCCTTACGGCCCGGCCACCGGAGCGCAGCGCGGATTTCTGCGCGTCGGTCGCCGCGGTCCGGCCGTCACTTAGAACCGGAGAATCGGCCGGATTGGAAAAGCTCCCTCAGATCACCGAGTCCGGCCCGGCCCGCCCGCAGACAGCGTCCCTCAGGGCCGCGGCTCCGCGCTCCTGGGGCGCCCGCAGGGCGGAGGCCCCGCCGCTCCCTGGGCAGTCGTGCCGGCGGCTGGCCGCTCCTTCGCAGAGCGCCTCACTCCTGGTAGCGGCCCGACCCTCCGCGGGCGCAGCTGCGGTAGCCTTCAGCGTCTTGTCGCGTCACCGGTGGATCTGACCTATTTTATATTTGTAATTCCACCATCCTGCAAAACCGTAATGGGAAATCAAACTCTTACAATGGAACTGATATATCATCAGGGGGCTGCAGCACCTCCCTTACAAAGACAGGCTGATGGAGCTGGGCTTCTTCAGCCTGGAGGAGAGAAGCTGAGGGGTGACCTCATTGCAGCCTTCAGTACCTAAAGGGAGTCTGCAGACAGGAGGGGAATCAACTCTTGGAAAGGGTTGATAACTGCAGGACAAGGGGAAATGAAGTTGAGGGAGGGGAAATTTAGATTGGACGTCAGGGGGAAACTTTACAGAGAGAGTGGTGAGGTGCTGGAGCAGCTGCCCAGAGAGGCTGTGATGCCCCGTCCATCCCTGGAGGTGTTCAAGGCCTTGATGGGGTTGGATGGGCCCCTTGACAGGTTGGATGGGGCACTGGTCAGCCTGGTATAATATTAAATATGGAGGTTGGTGGCCCTGCATGCAGCAGGGGGGTTGGAGATTCATGATCCTCGAGGTCCCTTCCAACCCTGGCTAGCTTTTCATGCTGCTGTTATGTAAAAAGTACACTTCTAGACTCTCCCTGATTTGTCTGGAAGGATTTGAAGCACAGGTTGAACAGACCTGCCAGGATGTGCTCAATAGTCTGGATCTGGAAAAGCCTTTTTTCCATAAGCATCTCACAGAGCTCCTAGGTTTTCTCATTGCATTGCATAGGCGTGTGTGGAGTTAAGCTAGAATAATGCTTGAAGAGAATGAACCTCGAGCAACTCGGCACTGTTTTTCCTTCTTGTGTTCCTCTCCTTGGAGAAAGAGAGCAGGAACCAGCCTGAGGCTCAATGTATTCCAGGGTTCACTTGCTGTGGCAGGATCTCCCTGGGTTTTATGCAGCTTCGTAGAGAAACGTTGTCCTAGAGAAGCTGGCAGCCTTTCACTTGCACTTGGTAAAGTGCTTGGTAAAGAACTGGCTGGAGGGCTGGGTCCAGAGTGGCAGTGAATGGAGTTAAATCCAGCTGGCAACCAGTCATGAGTGGTGTTCCCTGGGGATTGGTATTTGGGCCTGGCCTCTTTAATGTCTTCATTGATGACCTGGACAGTGGGGTTGAGTGGACCCTTAGTAAGTTTGCAGATGACACCAAGCTGGGAGGAAGTGTCGATCTGCCTGGGGGTTGGAAGGCCCTTCAGAAGGATTGGGACAGGCTGGGCTGGGCTAAGGTCAATGGGATGAGGACCACCAACACCAACTGCTAGGTCCTCCACCTTGGCCACAACAACCCCCTGCAGTGCTATAGGCTTGGGGCAGAGTGGCTGGAAGACTGTGTGGAGGAAATGGACCTGAGGGTGTTGGTTGACACTCAGGTAAATGTGAGCCAGCAGTGTGCCCAGGTGGCTAAGAAAGCCAGTGACATCCCAGCTTGTATAAGAAATAGTGTTGTCAGCAGGAGCAGGGAGGTAATCATCCTCCTGTACGCAGCTCTGGTGAGGCCACCCCTCAGGTACTGTGTTCCATTTGTGCCCCTCACTGCAAGAAAGGCATGGAGGCCCTGGAGTGTATCCAGAGAAGGACAACAAAGTTGTGAGGTGTCAGGAACACCTCACAACAGTTGAGTGAGCTGGGATTGTTCAGTATGGAGAGGAGGAGGCACAAGGGAAACCTTGCAGCTCTCTACAACTCCCTGAAAGGAGGTTGTGGCAAGGTGTTGGTTGGCCTCTTCTCCCATGTAAATAGGGATAGGACTAGGAGGAATAGGTTCAAGTTGTGCCAGGGGAGATTCAGGTTGGATATTAAGAAAAAGTTCCTTCTCCAAAAGAGTGGTCAGGCACTGGAACAGGCTGCCCAGAGAGGTGGTTGATACCCTGTCCCTGGGAGGTGTTCAAGGAAGGCAGAGATTTGGCAATGAGGGAGATGATCAGTGGGCATGGTTGCACTAGATGATCTTGGAGGTCTTTTCCAATCTTGATGATTCTATGATTCTTCGATTCTGGCACTGAGACAACTCGTGCCTGGTGCAAACTCAGGTCAAACCAACTACCTGTCCCTTTGTTGTTACCTGCCCCTTTTGTTTGGACCTCTGCTGGGGCCAGTGATCTGTAACACACTGAGCCAGTGAAGGATTCCTCCATATGTACAGGTGCCTCTGGGAAGTTGGCAAGAGCTGAAGAGATAGAAAAGGGCAGTGAGATCTGGGCTTGGATGGGAGGAAGTATGTAGAGAAAAGTGATAGTGGAAATGAGTTAAAAATACAAAATTAGGTGCAGGACCTGTGATGATGTGGCTGTAGGCATTTCATTTTTCTTCTTCTTGTTGTGTGTGTGTGTTTTGTTGATTTAATCAGAAGTAGGGCTTGCTAATATGAGAGTAAGGAGGGGGCAGGAAAAGAGATGTGCAGAATGGAAGAAGCGTTCGTCACTAGGTGGCACAAGAAGTCTGTCTGAGAACGATCGAGGACTTGCTGGGGCTCTTTGCAGTGGATTTCACAGCGCACAGTGCTACTAAACCATCTGCTTTTTTTTTTTTTTTCTTTTGCAGCACTCAGGATAACACTGCCTGAAAGCTGCGAGGCCAGCGACCCAACGACTCTGCAAGCTCAGCCCTCTCCTGGTCTGTCATTCAGAAGTAGTAAGAGTCAGGTAAAAAGAAGAGGGAGACTACCAAAGAGCACACTTTTTTTTTTTTTTTTTAATATGCTTTTCTCTGTAGCTTCAGTAACTGCTTGTTTTCAGTAGGATAATTCTAAAAGCTCATTAAAGTGGTAAATACAGCAATTAAAGTCCAGTAGCTTAATGTTGAATTCAAACAGCACAGCAACAAGGGCTGGCTGCAGTGAGTTGTGATGAGAAAGGTAATGTGCTGAGATGTTTATTACAAATCAAACCTTTCACTGAGTCTTTAGTTTGTTAATTGTGTTCTTTTGCATGTTATGCCTTTGAGATTAAATTTCACTAAACTGATTGTTTTGAATAACAACACCGTATTGCGTAGGTCATTCTTGAAAAGGAATTTCATTCAACACTTTGAAACATAAATGCTATTTGCATATTTATGCATATAAATTATTTTTAGCACTTTCTGAGGAATTCACTTCCCATTAAGTGACTGCATCTAATAGGATTTGGATCTTTATGGAAGTATGAGACACTTTTAGAGAAACTCTCATAGGATGTCTCTTAGAGAGATTTATGAAAGCAATAGAGAAAGTTAGCACAGCAGATGTAGAGATGTGTTGAGTGGTATCCATTCCCAAAGCAAAATTTGGGTTTGTATATCGTTGAGAAAGCGGTAGGGAATAACCTTGGTTTGTGTTGGCATAAATGAGCTGTTGTAATACCTACAGTGGTGAACGTTAGGACGTGGTCTGGTGCTGACTTGGCCATTGCTACTAATACCCAAGAGGAGAGTGAAAAGATGGAAAGTGTCAGCCCTATAGCCATGGAGCAGTCCTGTTAGAAATACATTTCAGTTGGGTTCTCTTATGTGCTTTGACTTCTTGTAATAACTTCAGTGGAACTGGAATGTAAAATAATGGAATCTGATCACAGCATAAGAGAGGTAAATGTAGACCAGGGGTAATTCTTTATAATGCCTGTCTGCTTCTCAAGAAATGTAGTGAAGCATTTTTGCATAAATATGGTTTACTCACTGACACAAAAAAAAAAGTTTACCTGATCTGAAAATTTATGATGTTGAGTTCAATACAGCCTTTGAGGCAGAAGCAAAGAGTAGAAAAACAAAATCATCTTCCCAAGCATTCCCTGAACTAAACAACTACTCAATCTAAATGGAAGTTCTGTTTTGAAATTGGCCTAAATTCAATTTTGTAATTTAATGATAAATTGGAAAAAAAAGAAAAAGTAAACCTTCTAAGATTGAAATGGGTAGTGCAAAACATTTTCAGTAATGCAAAATGATTTAATTTTCATTTGTATGAGAAAACAATTTTTTTGGTTGGTTAGTTTTGATTAGATGGGTCTAAACTAACATTTTTGCTGTAGGTTTTTTCGTTGTTGGTTTTTTTTGAGAGAAATAAAAGGATTGCAAATCTCTGTTAGTT